CTAATTAAAATTTAAAAAATGAAAACAATTCTTGTAAAAATTCATTATTCATCGAAAAAAGTTTTCTCTTAAGACAATAGTGTCCATAATATAATAATAAAACAATTAAAATCTTTCCAAAATTTAAAAATAATATCTCAATTTTATTGCATTTTTATTTCACGATTCAAAGCAGATTTTCAGTAACTTTGGGTCCTGTTTTACAAAAAAATAAAAATTAAAAAAAAAAAAAATACGATGATCGAAATTCTCCAAAGAATTCTGCTTTTAACTAATATAAACATTAAACGGTACAAAAATAAATTTCTTGAAATTTCATAAAATTATATAAGTGAGGGGTAATAGATTTTAAAAAAAAAAGTTTTTACCAAGATTTTTAAAAAAAATAGATATTTCTAAAATAATTTCATTCATTTTTGAATAAATCCTGAAAGTTTCATTAAAATCTGACAATTATTTGATTTTTGCAAGGAGTTTTGCAAGAATTTCTGAATCAATGTGTTTTTCACCGCAAAAAAAGTCGCTAAAATTTCCTTTACTAATCTTTGGTTACCACGCTGACGTAAGAAAAAGAAAAAATTAACCAAAGTTTCGAACGTTCAAAAATGTATCAAAAATACAATTTAATAATAAAAAAATCCTTTGATCTTTCCTCTTAATAACATAAAGATTTTGACGATGGAGCTTTCTTTTTATTAAGTTTGAGGCATTTTTTCATCATGGTATGCCCATTTTTAGCGAATCTGCGGTGGTACCTATAAAAATCATCATCAAAATGACTTAAACTGTCTTATACTCTTGTCCTGTTATCCATTGATTATTGCCAGACAGAAAGGGAAATTAGATCTGGCGGCACAAATATTCATTCCACTTTCATTTAAATTGTGTGTGTATATATGTTTGTTTGTGGGCATGTATATTTTAATTCAATGGCATACCTAAATATAGTTTTACAAAATTAAAAAAATAATTCTATTGCCGAATAATTTGGGAAAAGTTCAATAAAATCTTATAGTTATCTGATTTTTGAAGATTTAAAAATGAATGCTTTTTTTTTTTTCTTACCTCAAACTTTGATTCTATTGCTCAGTCCAGAGTAGGGGTTGTTCAGACTGAGTGAGTGAGAGAGAAATGTATTTTTCTAATATCTTATTTACAAATCAATTTGTGTGTGTATATATGTGTACATTAAATAGCACAAGCACGTATAAGGTACGCATAACACAGGCATACGCATATACATTACAGACGCGCATATAAAGTCACATGCATTCAGTGTGTGACTAACAGAGATACACCTATTCATTTATATTATAGATTATTGACTTTTCTGGCAGATCACACTACTTATTCGTGTTGAAATAATAAAACAAATATTATTTGAAAACTAGTTGTAAGGAACATGATCAACCTGATACTCTTCCTCCTAAGTGCTTCAGGAGGCATGCGATCATGGGTCTCCACAGTTTTCCTCTCGTTGATATCCGTAGACATACTGCCATGACTGTTCTTGAGAAAGATATTGGAGTAGTATCTCGTTAAACTTCCTTGATTTTGGAGTCAGAGTTAGTTGTCCGACCAAGTCTAGAGAGCCTAGTTCGCTATTTTACCAATAGTTGAGGTTGGGGTGAGAGGAAGAAATGGATTCATGCCTTTCTCGAGTGAACGCAGCAGCTTCGTCTGGAATTTATGTAATCAATAATTTGTAGGAACAATGCTGAAGTGGAACTCGTCACTGTTAGAAGTTTGCTGTAGCGTGTCAATGTATTTAAGCAATTATAGTGACAATCATTACAGCCAAGCCTAATAAAAATTCTTAATGGACTTTGAACGATGATTACTTTGCGGAAAAGTACAATCTGACGACAATGCAGCAATTTTTCCTCTTAATTAATTTTGACAACAGCTTATCGCCGTCTGTTAAAAATGACTTGCTTTTATGCTTTTACCAGAACTCATATCGTATTTCAGTCAAAGGCTTCTTCAAAAGAAAATGAAATAAAAGCAACTATAAAAATTATCTCCGATAAAACAGATAGATTAAATTGTACGAAAAACTAAAAATTAGAATGTTACTTACATAGTTTCTTTTTCAAATCATCCACCGAAAGGAAACTAGACGGACTATAAAAATACATGAATAAAAATCTATGTGAAAAGAAAATTGACAAAAGGAGGCTATAAAATGATTTCATAATAAATCACCAAAATGTAGCTTGACGGTTTTAAACATTCTGTGGTAAAGATTCACAAAATGAGAATCAACTTTGATATTATAAAAATCCCGATAGTGGATAGAATGTATACGACCCCTAAGAAGTTGGTTTTTGATCCGTTTGAAATCACCCGTTTACTTTATAAAGTCAGTGAAAGGGACGAGAAAGACTGCTTCTACTGTCGCTGTTGAAGAAGAACAAGAAGAAGAAGAAGAACAAGAAGAAGACTCTTCAAAATTTAATATACGAATGTCTTTTCTAAACATATATTTATCGCATTCAAATATCTTTTCTACACCTGTGAGAGTTTAGCTCATATTTGAGAACGACTGTTCTGAAAACCTGATTGCTTTGTCTAAAGGGCCCAGAGAACCAGCTTCACCTTCGAAGTAAGTAAAGTTCTTTTATTGTTAAAAAACTGATTAACATGAAATTTTATTCTCTAAGGAAGTAAGTAAAATTCCTTTTGTGTTTTATGAACTGTTGTCTTCTGACAGAAAACCGATTTGTATTTCAAAGAACTGTTAGCGTGACAGTTTATAGCGCACAAGGAAAATATTGCATACAGCCTATGTTGTATTTTGTACGATTTGTATATTGTAAATTAATTAATAAATGTTTGTTTCTTTACAAATTTCACTTAAAGTAAAAAGAGTGTTTATTACGTTAGCGCCTCTTTAGGTATTTGTAAGAGCAAGGATAAGAGACTTGAAATTTCCCCATCCTCTTGAATCCTCCCTTCTTTCGCTTCTTCTTTTACGACAAAATTATAGATCATAAATGCAAAAATAATGTTTATGAAACAAATAAATACATTCTTAAGAAAGAGAAAAATTTCGGTATATTCCATTTTAGCATTTGAAACTTTTGTGTCATACCAAATACTGAATTGCCTTTAATTGCTTTACCTAGCCTCATATTCTGAACAGCGAAAAATTGATTGTCAACCACCAAGGCTGCAACCACGAGTTTTTTCGTTGTTTTTAACGCAAATAACTCGTATTTGGCGCCTAAAGCAGAAATGAAAGATCGTACCCAAATGATAATTAAATAATAGAGATTTAGTGTGAAAACACTGTTAAGACTTCAGTTGAAGTTATAAAATTTATAGTTGATTTTTATGAGTTGATTTATAGTAGCCACACAATTTTTTTTATTATTATTACTTAAGTTGGCGTTTGAAATCAGATTTCAATTTCATAATTGACCTCTGGCGGTCAACGCATTAAACTTCTGTGACCAACGTTTCGGCTGTTGTACGCTCCGGCCTTCTTCAGGTGGTTGGAATTTCGAACTGAACTCTTTATTTTGCTCACTGGGATAGACTGTTCTACTTCCACGTGCGATGTTTGATGGATGTCAGTTATCAGTTATCTCCTGATAATTTCCTCTATTGCCTTAACCGGGTGTGTCACTGGATCTAGGACACCTTTATCCCGCACAGTGTCTAGGACGTTGTCTAGGAGACACCGGCGTTGGTTAGATCTAGTGACAGGACCCAAAGAGTGTGAGTTCAATACACGGTTAAGGCAGTGGAGAACTTTCAGAGGGAAATTAACAGGAGATAACTGATAACTGACATCCATCAAACATGGCGCGTGGAACTAGAACAGTCTACCCCAGTGAGCGAAATAAAGGGTTCAGTTCGAAATTTCAACCACCTGAAGAAGGCCGGAGCGTACAACGGCCGAAACGTTGTGATAAATATGTCGACAAAGGTGAGGACAATAGTCCGAATAATGTAAATAATGTACATAATACCTCATCTCAGAAATATAGGCAGATTCTGTGAGCAAATAAGAATTTGTAAAAAGATCGAATTTATGTCCTAGATATAACGTAGATAAAATATTGCACTTTGGATGTAATATTTTATTTTTGTTTTATTTCTGGTGGAAGATTTTCATATGCGACCCTTTTTTATTTTTTAAATAATTTATTCATTAATAATGATTTATTCTTGTTTTTACGAATTATTATCGAATCACAGTTGAACTATATGTCACTTTTTTATGTAAATAAATCTATACATCACTTTTTATTTATGGAAAAAATATGTACTTAGGATATTAGGAATATTGTTATTTGTTACGTATAGCAATATGAGGTAATTTTGTATTTGGAATGATAATTTTTTTTAGTTATAGTGACCGGAACATTTTTCGAATTCATTGTTTGAGTGTTAATTGAAAAAATGTAAAATAAAGTTTTTAGCACATTTTTTTAAATTATTTTTTTATGTATGACTTTTTGTATGTAGTCCCATGAATTCTATTATTAAAGAAAGATCAATATTGATTAAAAAAGGAAAAGAAAAAATATTCAATTAAAAAAAAACTTTTAGCCTCAGTGGCTTCTCTCTTTCAGTTAATCTTCCTTTCTCCTGATTTTCAAAACATTATTGTTTTTTAATAAATGTTAATCTTTTTTCATTACATTTTCCTTTCTATCAACTTTAGTCTTACTTACTTAACTAACTCTCTATGTGTTCATATCGACACAAATCTCTCCCTTGATTTTCGTTTCCATTTCTTTATCTATTTCGTCACTCTTTTTCTCCCTTATTTTCTTTTACTTTTTCTCTCTTTCTAGAGAATCCAAAAGCATTTCTAAAGTGCTGTTCTCCAATTTTATTTTCGCACTTGCAACGCTTATTTTTCATTTTTCCATTCTCGTAGAACAAGAAGAGGGAAATAATTTGGCAAATCCATCAGCTTTACAAATAATTCCCAACAACCACCATTACCCCCCACCTTACAGCAGACGACGTTTTCAGTGTTCAAAATGGCTGACCGTCCAGCGGTTATTGTTGATTTGGACGACCAAGAAGGGGTAAGTGTACTGTTTTTAAGGACTATAAACCATTATTTGTATAAATATTATTTATAACGTCGTCTTCTGTTAATATGATGCTACTGGTTGTGTTTTTGTGTATATTTAAAGAGCTGAGACCCATGTTTGCATAGTGTGTCTGCCGTGTAGTGTTTTTAGTATTTATTAGTAGTGTAAAAAAAAAAAATACTGTTGTTATTACTACAGGTTTCACACTTGAGTTTTTATATTTTATAATAATCTGTCATTTAAATCGGGACAGATATACCCAGTTTTTATTTTATTTTATTTTATCCTTATATTTATTTGTGGCCTTTATAAATAAAATGTCCAATTTAAAAGTATTTTTTACACGTGTTTCGTTTTCTGCGTACACTGCATGGTTTCGTGTTTAGTATTATTTTAATTTCTTGAATGACTTCAATTATAACATTTAGGATCGACTCTTTCAAGATAAGCTTGATCTTCGTTTTTTTTTTCTTTGAAATCTCAAAAAACTGTATCGCCACCCCTTTTAAATGTACACCGAATGTTGTCGTGTTTCTCTTTTTAAATGTGTTATTTTCAACTTAATTTTACCCATTTTCATATTACAAATCTAAACTTCATGCGAGCATGAACATTTATTTCAAAACAAAAAGCTGCAAACGAATTCTAAATATCCGATTAAACAAATTTTACGACTTGCTTTCTGAACATTTTTCGATAGTTCACATGACTAAAAATTAAAAAAAAAAAAACATAGCCACGCTTATCGTTTTTGTTGATACAGTGATTTATATTTTTTTTCTATGTATCTCTGCTTTTATAAATTTTATAGATTTGAGAAGGAAAAACTATTTTAGAAGCGTTGGTATAATCCGAGACGTTATTTTGTCACAATAATCTAGAAAGACTTACTTAGTGAACGTGTCACAGTTGTCTCTGGGGAAAAGCAGGAAGGCTTCTTCTTTAGTTCCACTTAGTCACTTCCTGTAGGTGTTTGGGATTTAAATCGTAATCTTTATCAGCTGGTTGTATTTTTTTTTTTTTACACTTGCTATAGTCACAAATTTTAATGTTTTATTTAACTAGTTACAAACAACTAGTAATTACTGGCGAATAATCTCAATATACAATATCAAAGTAAAAATAAAATAGTATGTTTTTGTTAAATAAAATAACACACACACAACTTATTTACTAGTATTTACCTTCCTTAGGTTGTTCATTTTTTTGTTTTGTAGTATCATGCATAAGTAGTGTAGCCCCTACTCGAACTGAATAAATTTGAAACTAACGTGATTTTGAGGTATCCACTGACTTCTTATCTCACTTACTGACACTTACTAGATATTGCTAATATAGCATGGGGTTGAATTAAAAGACTAAAGTTTATTTTGAACTCTCTTTCAATATGGATACTTGGTTAAGTGAAGTCTGGTGTCATACGTATATAAAAATTTCCAGCGAGTCAGGTGTGGAATGAAATATTTTTTTCTTTCAATCCCTTTCTCTCGGTTAATTAATTAAATAAGTTACCTGATGAATTAAAATACCTAAAATGAGTTTCTTAAAACATTATTTGTTAATCTTGTGTTCATTTCAGTCGACTAAACTTCGCTGTTGACACAATTCATTTGATTTAATAACATCCGGTTGACGTGTTCGTTACAGTCCCTTTTTAATATTTGCTTATTGTCGCCTCTGTAGATTATGGAAGACCACAATTGCTACTATATGGGTGTACCAACTACATTGTCAAATCGAATAGAAATTATACTCGTTAACGTTATTTGATGATTTTAAAGTTATTTAAAGCTGCTGTATTTATTCACTTTTTTAGCATAACACTTCTTCCATAATTGTGAAAATGACTGGCGTAACCACTGTTATATTGCTCCTTCATAAAATTTTTTAAACTTTCGTTTTCTACGAAAAAAATGAAATCGCATTCACTTTAATAATTATCCTGCTAACTAAAATAACGAGTTGTTTTCAAATCGATAAACAAAACTAGGCAAAATTATTTATCGTGTCACTGGCTGAGTGTTAATGTTCTGTTACTGTTATTGTGTCATTTTAAAATTGAGTTTAAAAAAAAAAAAAAATTTCACCGAGTCTTGATAGTTGTATTGTTACTTTTATTTTGCTATTTTTTTTTTTTTACTAGCTTCTGTAGTTCATTTTTGTGTGTGTGTGTCAAAAATGTAATGCAAAGAAATTACCCTAAAAACAACTCCATCTAGAAGAAAAGTAAAAGTGAAAGAAAAAGCGAGAAGAGTGACTTTTTTGAAAAATATTAACTTTTTTTTTTGTCGCTGGTGATTTTTCCTTAAGCTCAAAACTGCTGTACGGTAACGGGTGGTTTAAATTCTTCGTAGTAAAACATTGAAAGTTCAGGATTTTTTATACACACACACACACCAGTACCACATATGGATTCATGACTTATCTTATTTTTAATAATGTTGTTTGATGTATAAAAAAAGAAAAAAGTACGTTTTTTGTACCATCTGATCTGTAGCGTAAGTAGTTCCCCCCTCATGACTATGTAAAAATAAAATTATTATTATTAAAAAAAAAAAGTATGTTTATGCCAAGAACACGACCTAAACATTTGATAATTTCTTTCTTGCCATTAATGATTTAATGTAATCTCTAAAAATGTTTTTGTAAAATTCTTTAGTCAATAAGTTTCACGACGAAGAAAAAGTAATATTCTCTAAATACCCAGGTTAAAAAATATTAAAAACTGCGATGTTTCTGTTCAGAATCTGAGATGTGAATTGTGTTGTTTTTTTGTTTTTTTTTATACGAGTTACACGACAAAAACAAGTTACTTTTTAAAATGAATATCAGAATAATTTTTTCTGCTAAAAACAAAAATGATATTTTAGCTTTACGTTTACATGGCAATTATCGGTAATCGTAAAACGTGGAGTTTTCCTATTCTGTATAGCTAGCTGTAGTTACCTTTTTTTTCTTTTTCTTTTTATGCCTGGTAGTGAAAAAGCTAGAATTAAATTTTGACGCGAACATTCATAAAAAAAAAAATCTAAGTTTTTAATTTTTTAGAAGCTACTGTTGAGTTTTTAAATTGTTTTTTATTTAGTTCTGCATATTTTCTTTAAATAAATGTACAATAAATGAGTAAAAAAAAAAGAAAAGCTCTAGAAATTACAGTTTTAGTTATCTCCTATGGAGTTAAAATTCATTACTGAAGTTTTGTTACTTTTAAAAATAGAACTTTAGGTTTTATATTATATAGCCTAATTGGTCACTCAATGATATCACATAAACCATAATTTATGTGCAATAACAAAGAGAATGTCAGATGAATACTCTATCATTTCTCTTGAACTTGTAAAAAGATTTTTTTTTACATTACAAATTAGTTTTAAAAAATATGAAAGAAAATTCAAAAAGTCTATGCATTGCTAGATTCTTACAATGATACTTTTGTTGCTTTTTTAGGGATGTAAATATTTTATCAGTTCAGATTCAATTCTTAAATAGAATGGCTCATCAAATTCATTCATCATGATGTTAAAAATAAATGTACCAAGTATATGATGGAGTTTCATATTTTTTTTTACCCCAATCATTTTATTTCTGAATTCATTTTGTCATTGTCAAATGTAATAAATGTGTGAGATAAGCCAAGAATGTTTCTTGTAATTAGTTTTACTTCTGAATTTATCATTAAAAATGATAATCATAATTACTACAACCCTCTTCTCGGAACTATATCTAAAGTTGTTTTCTAATCCAGATATATCATAATTTAAAAACAATGTTTCATTTTTTTTAAACATTTGATATCCTCACAAAGGTTTATAATTGTTTATCACATTTAATTAATTAATCTTAATTAAAAAAAATATTACTTTTTTTTTTTTTTTTTAAATATTGCAGAAAAGCATTTTTTAACATGGCAGTATGTGTTCTCATGAGTTGTTTAGATTTATTGATAACTTAATGTTTGTTATTAAGTAAAGGGCCTATAACTGTATAAATTACTTGAAAAATACAGTGTGAACGCCTTTTTTATACCATTTATACCCAGTAATATTATCATTTTTAGAAAATTATGTAATATTTTATTGAATTTTAGGTACTTTGGCTTTATAGTCTTACTTACAAAGGAAATTTTAGAAAATTATCAATAAATTTTAGATTTACTAGTTAACGCTTTCATTTTCTGCTAATGTCATGTATGGATGTCCATATTTGCAAAAATCAGCACATTTATATACACATACACACACAAAAAAATTCAAAATTCTTTTTAAAATGCTGAGCTTGGTGAATTATATTAATTTTATGATTACTAGATATAGTTTTTACTTAATAACAATATCACCTAACCAGTACAAATTAATACAGAATTTTAAAAGATTTAAAACTATAAATTGTTATAATTAAGCTTTAAAAGAAATGAAAATTCTTGTAAAAATTCATTATTCATTGAAAATAATTTTTTCTTAAGACAGTAGTGTTCATAATATATCTTATTCATAAAAGCAATTAAAAGATTTTCTAATTAAATAATGTCTTAGTTTTATTACATTTTTTTTATTTTATAATTCAGAGCAAATTTTATGTTTGGCAAAAAATAATTGATGAAGGAAATTCTTTAAGAACTTGGCCTTTTAACTAATATAAACATTAAGCTCTACAAAACGGTTCTTAAAATTTTATGAATTAAATAAGTGGGTGGGTGGGTGTTTGTGTGTGGTGCTGGTGGTGGGGGTAATTGATGTAAAAAAAATATTTTTTACCAAGATTTAAAAAAATGTTTCAAAAGTAATATAATTCATTTTTGAATAAGTCCTGAAAATTTCATTAAAATTTGACAATTATCTGATTTTTGGAAGAATTTCCAAATCAATGTATTTTTCACTACAAAATATGCTCAAATTTCTCATAGTAATTCATGGCTATTTGTTGACACAAGAAAAACAAAATTTTTAAACAAAAATTTTGAAGATTCTAAAAAAGATTAAAAAAATATAATT